CAGAAGTTTTTTGCAAGGCTACCTGTACTACATTGTATAGCTAATAATAGGTCAAAAACATGAAAAAAAAATAATAAGATTTGGAATTTCTGTAATGTTAATTTCGATTTTGAGACTTACCCAAAAGCTAGTATCTTTGTGTATTTATTTCAGTTTCACTCTAATAAAGAAATGAATGTGGTGATTAGACTATATCACTACGTTTCTGTATAACGAAAAGTGTTCTAAAAAAGTTAAAACTGAAAGTTTTGAATCTCAAAAAATCAGTTGCTTTAAGTTGCCTATTCGTAGCTTCGTCCGTGCTTGGAAGACCCACGTTTGGGAGGCTAATTTTGAGGAAGAGTGGAAGCGAGAACGGAGCAAATTTTGCTTATTAGCACCATTATTGCTTTGAAAAATGCATTGTAAAATAATCGTGAGTTTTATTACCACAGCTTTTGCCAGTTCCAGCGCTTCATCCCATTTGTGTAGAGTTTGATACATCTCAATAGCTTCTTCCACAGCATTCTAAACTTTGACAAATTACGTTATTCACGTTAAGAAAAATGCCACATAGAGTAGCAAAGATATACCTGTTCCAAATAAGTCTTCTCCGCTTCCTTGAACTTTCGTCTTAACTGTGCAACATTTGCTCTCACTTTATATGATTGGGTTCCATCACCTCCGATTTCTTTTGCTGCTTTTTCCGCAAGTTCCATTATTTCCTTCAGAAATATTGTTTACTGCTACGTTGATACTTTCAGAAATCAACCTGATTTAAACTTACAAAAACTGCTCGAGCCCTTGCAAAGTCGCCAAGAGCAGCAAAACATCTTTGAGCTATGAAAAAATTGCTTTGATCCAGGGCTAACTGTGCAACTTTGTTCCACATTATGTAGCTGAAATCATAAATTAGCAAGATTAGCAGAGAGTGAACTGGAACTAAGGGATAAGAAATACTAGACGACGTTAAATTGCTGTAAAACTTAGTGATTGTGGGAAACTTAGTAGAAAAAAATTGGATTAGAAACAAATTTTTTCATTACATAGTGGAGTTGTAAACTGGTGACGAAATT